TTTTTGCACCCATGATCTAGAAAATAGTTCTTGTATTGTAACAGCCCCACAGAGCACTGAAGAGTTGATTTTTAACTTGTGTACTGTTCTGCTCATTGTGGCTCCAAAACGTAGTAATGTTTTTTTTTGTTTGTTTTTTTTGTTGGTTTGTTTTGTTTCCAAAAATTTGTGCATATTGGGGGGAAAAATGGAGTAAAGGTTTACAAAATATCCATTATAAATTGGTGAGTAGGGCTGGGCGATCAATGGCGATATACGATATATATCTGGTTTTTTTATTTTTTTTATTTTTTATTTTTAAGCCATAAAGTAAGAACAAAAAAAGAGTTCTTAGTACAAGCTGTCCCAGATGTCACACAGGCACTTTTATTAACATTCAGCATAGATGTACGTAAAATAAATTATCAGCATTTATTAAATAATAATGCTCCATAAATAAAATAACAGTGTTGTTTTTGTGCATAACAAAAAGCTCACAATTGTGCAGTCAAAATGCAAACTAAAAAGATGCTGAGCATAATAACAAAGACAGATTTTGCAGCTGCTCTGTTCCGAAGTTCTACTGCGTGACTGACAGCCTTGAGTTTGAAATCCGCTCTGTAACCAGGCCATTTGTGGTCCTTATACACACACAATACGGTAATATCATGTTGAAGGACAGTACGTAGTACTCCACGAGGTTCCTGACTACGGTAGCCGTAATGCTCTGACAATCCATCAAGCGGTGTGGCTTCGTAGCTTACCAAAGTTGTACTAAAACATTTTTTGACAGATTGCTGAGCGCCATGTAGCACATAAAATCGGTTATTGGTCAGTAAGCACAACCAGAATTCATACATAAGGCGCACTGTCGATTTTTGAGAAAATTAAAGGATTTTAGGCCAAACGCGTTAGCGCGGTTAGCTCGTTAACACGTTGACACCGTCCAGCCCCATGCACGTGCCGATCCGTGGTAACTCGCTAACGGAGATTTGTCGCATTAATGCAGCGTTAATGTCATTTTAACGAGATTAACGCTGGCAGCACTAAAATAGTAATCTCCAAATGTTTTCTTTTTACCGACCAGCTCCTCTGTGTCCTTCTTGTAGCCTGCAGTTGAAATGATGGGGGAGGGGGAGTTGTGTTCAGTGAAGGAGAGAGGTGAGGCAGAGTAATTTTGCGTACAGACAAAAGTGGACGAAAGAGAGGCAAACTTGTGGCTGCACAAGTATAATTATAACATAACATAGACTATATCGATATAAACGATATCTTCACATCTCATATCTCGTATAAAAATATATATCGATGTATTTAAAAACTTGATATATCGCCCAGCCCTGCTGGTGAGTGTTATGCAAAGTAAGCAATGATCTCAGTTGACATTAATGTGCTTACAGGTAGTCGACGTATTGTAGACGTTATGGATGTGAACACCCAGAAAGGAATTGAGATGTCGATGGCTCAGTGGCGACGGTACTATGAGACGCCACCATCAGAAAGAGAAAAACTCTACAATGTCATCAGTCTAGAGTTCAGTCACACCAGACTGGAAAACCTGGTGAAACGGCCTGCTTCGGTGAGAGTTTGCACAGTTTTACACATGACGTTTACAGAAACTGTACTTGTTGAAGCAACTGTTTGGGGAAAAAACTTCTGTAACTTCACCTTTAGTTATTGACCAACTGTGATGTGTTAAGCAGAAAGTGGTGCTGATCATCAGAATAGTCTCGGGTTTGGTGCTGAAATTTTAATTGTGTACTTCTGTATTACACAGGTGGACCTTATTGACTGGGTGGACAACATGTGGCCCCGTCATATCAAGGAGAGGCAGAGGGACTCCACCAATGCCATCATAGACATGCACTATCCCAAAGTACAGAAGTGAGTAAACTAACAACATTTAACATTTGCTGTGCTGTAGAGAAACCACCATCATGACCCTCTCCTATATCAATGCAAATGTAAGCTAGCTAATCTGTATGCCAGCTTCTGTTCACGTTTTAATCTTGTTTGATGGTTTTCAATCCTGCCTTCATATCTCTCAGGTACTGTCTCATGAGTGTGCAGGGCTGCTTCACAGATTTCCACATTGACTTTGGAGGCACTTCCGTCTGGTACCACATTCTGAGAGGAGGAAAGGTCAGTTTGAATGTCACACCGCACAAGAACTATAGATTTAACGAGGTGTCCATCAGAATAGTTGTTAACTTTGGTGGTTTTAACAGGCACATTTCTATGTGTATGTGGGCTGTTGTTGCACAGTTGCAATGCTAACTATGAGGCGCACATGCAGCAAAGGAGCTATGTGTGCATCTCTGCACTCACAGAGGGTTTCCAGAAGGATAATTTGTTTCCCACTTTACAGTCTTTACCATTGAGAGAAATTTGGTGGCATTAAAGGAGAATAAGCAAGAAGGAGAAGAAAGGTGTATTTTACTGAAGATGCAAACACTGAGGTTACTGCAAATGATAAGTTGGAGCTTTTTCTGAAATGGATACAAGCGTGTAGGAATTCTGAACATAATAGTAAAGGTACATTAGCTAACTTAACAATTGTGGCTTTTGTATTTAAAAAATCCAGGTAGGCTGCTGTGTTTACAGAAACTCTAACAGCAGTGCCTATAACAGCTGGGTAAAAACTTAATCTGGGACAGTCCTTTTCTTCAGTCTTGCTTTCAGAATAAATCAAAGTATGATCTAATGTTATCACACTTCATGTTATTATGCAGTAAATACTGACGGGGACATTTTTATGAGTGCATGCCAGTTTCTTTAATAAATTCAATTCTTGTTAGCAGACTAGAGGGAAGATCAAATTGTTTAGTTGGCATGCATTGCAGATTCTAACTAAGATTTACTTTCCCCCTACAGGTGTTCTGGCTGATTCCACCCTCACCACAGAACCTGGAGATGTATGAGAACTGGGTTTTATCAGGAAAACAGGGAGACATCTTCTTGGGGGATAAGTGCCATGACTGTCAAAGGATAGAGCTCCATCAAGGGAACACCTTTGTCATCCCATCAGGTCTGTTCTGTAATAGAATAATAGCGTTAGTACATACAGTTACAGACGAGGGTAGAGACAATGTATGTAAGCCTCTCACACATGTAAACAAGCATCCTGTGTTTAATATGGTGTAGGGTGGATCCATGCTGTGTACACACCAGAGGACACATTGGTGTTTGGGGGGAATTTCCTCCACAGCTTTAACATCCCGATGCAGCTCAACATCTACACCATTGAGGATCGCACACGGGTGAGCAGCAGTTAAACAGCTCACTGTTTAAATGTCTTTATAAATCATTTGAGATTTTAGAGTAATGTAATACATGATTCAGGGCCGTGTGGAAATTACAAGGGGCGAAAAAGACAAGTCTAAAAAAACCATTTAGTACCTTTTTGGGTATTCCCACTGTAGAAATCTGATGCCAGTACTGTCATTTTCTTGAAATTGAAACATGTATGCATCTTTTGGTTCTTGGATATGAATCCAGGGGTTGTAAAGCACTATCCACACAATTGTAGCCCACTGACAGGGTTACTGCAGGTCATTAAAAAGTCTGAAAGGAAAAACTAGACCTCAAATTGTGTGAGAGATTGTTGTATATTATAAATTTGGAGATGCTGTGACTTTAACTGGTAGATGAAATCAAAATGAGCTATGGAAAATATGAAGTTTATTTTGAGACTATGTCAAGTTTCTTTTCCTTTCTTAAATTTAGCTATAACACAGGTTAGGTATCCGGCTGGGTTAGCCCACACACACAGGTGTTCAGCTTGTATCTGGACTGCTGTGTCTGCAGTGACACCATATTTTTTTAAATATATATTTCTAAGAAGAAGTGAAAACCACAGCTACCGTGTGACAAATGCTTCTTTTTTGTGGTGCTTGACACTAGCTGTTAAACAAAACAAAAAACATAAATAATTTAGTTGCATAGGTGCAGCTGAGAATTTAAAAAACCCCATTTAATTATTAACAATTTGGAACCATTGTAGATGCATTACAAGCATGTAACTTCCTACATGTTCCTATAGGAACACATGTAATATCAATGTCCCCATCCTGTATGTGGTATGGCTCATATTTCCGTCATTTATTTACATTGATTGCTATACATATGGTTTCTGTTATTTGTAAATGTTGATCTACCTATAATATAAGCATAAATAGTTTAATTAGTACTAAATTAGGGTTAAATATGATTTTGAGCAGTGTTTAAAATGAACCTTTACATGGTTTCTTAGAGAGAAAAGGACATTTTCAACATTTTGCTACAGGTCAAACACTTTAACCTTCACTTTATAATCAATAATAGGAGCTTTTAATTGTGATAGAAATAGAAACGAAGAAGGAAATAATTGAAAAAGCAAGGCAACACTTTAGCTCAAACGAATGAATTGACATACCCATGGTTCATGTGACTACTTGGTTGCTTTTATGTCCATCATGGTTCTTTGGACGTTTTATTTACCTGCGTAAAAATGGTGTATATTACAAACTGGCCTCAGTCACGCAGGTTCTGGATACAAATATGCAGAAAAAAACCCAGCAGTTTTTTATTTGCCGTAAATATTTGAATCAACCGCCATATTGTGATGTTATTAGTCTTGGTACCCGAGGTAGTTTATGGGCCAAGTTTCATAAAGATTGAACCAATCCACTAGGGGGAGTTCAGGAACAGAAATGCAGACATAAATATATCATTATTATATAAGATTTAGCAGTTCTTCCTGGTCTGTTTTTATCAACATCCCCTAGGTGCCAGCAAAGTTCAGGTACCCGTTTTACTATGAGATGTGCTGGTACGTCCTGGAGAGATACCTTTACTGTCTGACAGACATCTCGCACCTCACCCCTGAGTTCAAGAAGTACTCCCTCGGTATAGGTAAGGATAAATGTACTCAGATAAAGACCGCTGCCCCCACCCCCCCTTTTTTCTTTCTTTCCTACAGAACACAAACATTTGTTTATCACTTACTTTAACTTTAAACACTACATGCTTCCTCTTTTAAGGCTTAACACCAGCTGACCTCGAAAACAATGCCTACACTGGTAATGGTGCTTCCAATGAAGATGACACTGATGATGAAAATGAGGATATCAAGATCAAGGAGGAAGATGCCGAAGAAGAAAAACCAATCCAAGTTAGCAAACCCCGGCCCGTGCTGACCCCCTTTGAGCTTGAAGGACTGTGGAACCTTTTAGGAAAACTGGAGGAGCTGCCGAGCCACAAAAAGTGCGTCCCTGAAGGAATTGCGAATGCTGCAGGCCTGCTTGAGGACATGAGGGTGAGTGTCACCAAAGTTCCTTGCGTTGATCAACTTAGAATGTAGTCACATGCTCTACGTAAGTATTTAATATATTTAGAATAAATACTCATCTGTCATTTCCATATTTTTTGTCTAGGCTGTTCTGACAGATTGTGCCGATGACAGCCCTAAGCTAGCCTACACTGGAGAGCCCATAGTCAGATGGCCTGAAAGGGTGAGTAGTGAACTATTTTTCTAAGCTTTATTTTTAATCATCTGCCTGATGTTTGTGGGACTCAATCATAACATGCATTTTGCCTGCTGGTCTTGTGTATGTAGCCATCATGGTACCAGCCTCCCACTCCTCCTACACCTGTTCTTTACCGTCCTCGCTTGGGACCCACCCTCCACAAGCCTCTGGGTCAGAAGACCAAACGGTCTTCCATCTCCGCCTTGAGACGGAGACGGGTGAGGTGCAAGCGCTGTGCTGCCTGCTGCAGGAAGGAGTGTGGCAACTGCCAGTACTGCCATGACATGAGGAAGTTCGGTGGACCTGGGCGCATGAAGAAGAGCTGCGTCATGCGACAGTGTCTAGCAGTAAGATTTCATACCCATCATTGTATTTATATACACTGAAATAATTATGCTGTCCATCTGTAAATGCATGCAGAAGAAACACTGAAAACTGTTAAAACATACTTTTACTGAAGCGTCTTACTCTAAAGTGTGTTGACAAACTGAACTGGAAAATCATTCTAAAGTTTTGATTATACTCAGTTGCTGAAGACCTGACAGCTAAGTTTAAAAAAAAAAAAAAAAAAAGCAGGCAGGTGTGTGCCAAAGGTTACATCACTCAGACCCTTGCCGACTCATAGACACCGAAAGTATAATCAAGGCTTAACAAGTGTCCTGTCAGTATTATATGTAAAATTTCGGGCTTTATTTTGTCCACCACCTAGCCTGCGTTACCGAACACAGCACGATGTGCCATATGTGGAGAGGGGGAGTCAGATGAAGCAAATCCAATCACTCACACCCTCATGGAGTGCTCTGTCTGTTCAGAAATCGCCCATCGACAATGCATTAAGGTGCGTCTGCTTCTGATCTAGCGTATAAATTAAGGACATTACACAGTTATTGCATTGATGCTTTTTGCATTTGTGATCAGGTTTTGTAGTTTCCAATTCAAACATTTACCTGTTGTGTTTTAGGAACCTGGTGAGGGGAAGATCAATAAGGACTTACCGAGTTGTTGGGAGTGTCCCAAATGTTACCAAGGAAAAGATTCAGCATCAGAGGTGCTTAAATATATTTCTTACATTTACTTTGATTCCTTCTTGCTTTAGCTGGTTCATTCTTTCGGATGTGTTTTTGTTTTTTCCCTTTATTGTTTATCAGCCACTTCCTGTTGCCTTATAGTTGATGTTGATACACTAATTAATAATGACACTCCCACATCAGTCTTCCAGCGATGAGGAAAGTGAAGAGTCAGAAGGCTCAACCTCCTTGCCACAGTCCAAACTTTCATACAGGGAAGGAATTGGTGTTGGTGAAGAGGCGGGTCCAGCAAAACGTAGCAGACCCCAAGGCCGGCCAACAGCACCACCGCCTTCTCAGAAACTGCTACTACAGCATCAACAGAGCCGCAAACGAGCAACTGAACTTCAGCTCAGATATAAAAAGAGAGTAAGTTGGGGATACTTAAGTTTGTTTCACATTGATTTGTATTTATTTTAGTGGCTACTGATTTTCCAATTGAAACACCTGTTTGGGGAAACTGTCTCTGACTTTAAATAATAGACTAACACTTTATCTATTCATAGATTAGTTTTTTCTGTAGCTGACTCTTCCCTACATCTTTTCTTTTTATTGCAGCTGAAACTGGATCGGGTCAAAATGTTAACAGTAAGTGGTGCACTTATTTCTGCAGTTATTCTGTATTGCATTTGAAACTGTTGCATTTGTGAAGTTTTTTTTTATCAACTTTTCAATGTTTTATATCTGCAGCAGATGACACAATTATGCACAACCATTTTTTTAGAACTAGATTTGATGTCTGAAACATGTCATGTCTTATTGATATTTGCCTTTTCCCTCTAAACAGAAATCGTCATCTCTAGCTCATTCCCCGAGGCTGCTGGGCTCCAGGGTGCTGCCTCGTCTGCGCTCTCCAGCGAGCAGACTACCTCAGGGCAGAGGTCAAGGTTCCACCTGGGCGAATGGGTCTTCTTACCACAGCAATCCAGTAGAGACCGAGTCCTTTGAGCAGCAGCAGCAGTCTTCCCATGGTTTAGTGCTTGCACCCAAAGGAGAGCCCCGCAGGGGGAGAGGGCGAGGTGTGAGGCTGCGGGGAGGAGGGGCAGGAAAAGGCATCAGAGGTGGTCAGAGTCATGCAGAGTTGGAAGAGGACAGTGAGGACAGCAGCAGCAGCAGCACCAACAGCAGCAGTAGTGACGACGACGAAGAAGAAGAGAGTGGGCAGAACAGCGGGAGGGGAGGTGATAAAGAGAACCAGCCACAGTTGAGACGGGAAGGACAGGCAGCCAAAGAAAGAGAAGAGGACGGGTTTGAGATGGCCAACCAAAATGGAGCAGATGAGGATGAAGAGGAGGAGATGGAGCAGGAAAGTCGAACAGGGGACAGAGATGCAACATATCTTAATAAAGTCACACTCCAAAGGCCAACCAGAGCCAAACAGGACCCGTCAGCTATTGTCCCCAAATTAGAGGCTGTCGCCCCTCACACTGCTACTTCCACAGTACACAGCCAGCCCAGAGCCCTCCTCAGACCCCCCATTAGAAATCGCAGCCCCTGTCCTGATCAGCACTCAAATAGGCACACACCACCGCAGACTCGCAGTGGACACACTGGCACTCGCACTTCCCACTCAGAGAGACTTGAGGCCTCAAAAAGAATGAGACTGAGCAGGCCAGCCAAACTGAACAATGGAGCTTCCTCGTCTTCATCTTCTGAGCTTCCCCATCTCCGCGTCCCTCTGTCTGCCCTGCAGGAAGGAGGGGGCGAAGCAGAAAGGGGGAGTGTCGGGAATAACCCAAGTTGTGAGAGAGAGGTGTGGGTGTCTGTCTTCCGCTACTTAAATCGTGCAGATCTCTGCGTCTGCATGGCAGTCTGCAAGAACTGGTACAAATGGTAAGACTTCTTCCCTGACACTTTACTAACAAATCTCCTTAAAGTGTTTTTTGTTTCGCTACACTCATAAAATGCAAAGTAAAACATACGCGTTCAGGCCCATTCTACCTAATTTAAATTACAAATCACTGACGTTACTTGTACTGGCTACAAATGATGGCTTGTTCTCTGGTTAATGTGGCCTCTATAGCTGGTCTCTGCATTAAGTTAAAGAAAAGCTTCACACTTTTTAAGAGAGCTTTACAAACCCTACTGGACTTTTGTTTTTTGTAGTTCAGCAAAGTGATGACTGTTTACCTGGCTGATCACCTCAGGATCTCAGCATTTTTATCTGATATTTATGATAACTCTGAATCTGGACCTTTTTTTAAGTTGTTAAATTATGCCAGACTACAGGTGTGAATCACACGATCGAGGTATGTTTAACTGGGCCGTCTTGTGGGTCATTTAAATTTCATGTTGTAGAGGCAGGATAATTTTGCTTCTACTTTTTAAATGTTAAAAAGATTTTAGTAAGATTCAGTTGGATTTCAGTCTTTAAAATCAGTTCAGACCACTTTGATTTGTATTTGTTAAAAGGCCCAGTGAGCCCTTTTGAAAGCCTAAAAGATGGTTTATTTAGACTGTATCGCTGACCCATATATCTACAAATGCACAGATATGTTCTTTATGCATGTGTTTTCATCTGTAGGTGTTTAGACAAGCGGCTTTGGGCGCGGATTGACCTAAGCATCAAGCGCACGGTTAGTCCTCAGGCCTTGACAGGCATCATAAAGAGACAGCCGGTCACACTCAACCTCTCCTGGACCAACATCTCTAAAAAACAGCTCAGCTGGCTCATTGACCGCCTGCCTGGTACACACTCAAGTTTTCTTCCAGGATTATTGAATTTTGAAAGGGACAATATAGATGTATTAACAATATTAACACATAAAAGGGGGACTCAATTTTTAGATTGTATGACATTAAACACTATTTAAATCTTACCCATTTTACAGGGCTGAAGGATCTGATGCTGGCAGGTTGTTCCTGGTCCTCTGTTTCAGCTCTGTGCTCCTCTGGTTGCCCTCTACTCCGTTCACTTGATCTGCGATATGCAGATGCCGTCAAAGATGCTCAGATCAGGGATCTAGTCACTCCTCCAGGTAAGGAAAGGGGAGCCTCAGAGGGTACAAAGTGATCATACGATGTGCATTATCAAGTAATAGATTTAGTATAGTTTTCTTTCCTTTTCGTGTCTTTTCCTTTTCCTTTCTCCCTTTCCTTTACCAAATTTACAGAATGTCTCTGCTTGTTTTCTTTCATCTCTGGTCCAGGCTGTGACAATCGTAGTCAGTTGCGGTCCATGCAGTGTTTGCGGCTAGCAGGTTTGGACATTAGCGACTCCACTCTGCGTCTGGTGATCCGCCACATGCCCCATTTAACAAAACTGGATCTGTCCCACTGCAACAGTCTCACCGACCACTCCATCAATCTGCTGACTGCAGTGGGCTCGTCCACGCGAAACACACTCACAGAACTCAATCTGGGAGGTAGGAAACTGTTGGGAAGTATATGGACTGGACAGCATTTCTGGGAAGTTTCATTCAACTGGAGATAAATGTTTTCACGTTTCTTTTCCAGGCTGCAGTAAACTGACAGATACGTGTCTGAAGTATCTCCGCCGCCTCTCTTGCATCATGCTGCTTGACCTACGAGGCTGTAAAGGTGTCTCCCGCAAGGCCTGTGAGGCGTTCATCTCTGAGCTGTCAGTCAACACACTCTACTGCCTATCGGATGAAAAACTGATCCAGCGGATATCCTAAGCGGCTCGCCTTCTGTCATTGCAGACGTGATTTGAGATGCAAAAGCGGAGGGAGTGGATCCTGATGCGAATCTGTGAAACAGAGAGAGGCAGGGAAGCTCATGCACCTGTGCCACGTAAAGGAAGGGTGGGGTCTAAACTGGGAGGGCTCGCTGACTGGTGCTGTTGGGAGGGGTCAAATGGCATGTCACAGCTGGAACGATGCTTCTTTTCATTACATTTTATTTTGCCATGTACTTAAAAAGGAAAAAAGGACTCAGGAGCTTTTTTGCTGTTCTTTTGGGACTTCGTGGTGAGTGGAGAAAACATCTTTTTTTTTTTTTTTTTTTTTTTTTTTATTTAAATGCAATTCCCCAAAATTTTAACTTTTATGTGCGCTGTGGTGTTTCATTTTTTTTTTTTTTTTTTTTTTAATTTTCCTAAGTGGGAGAATGCAGGCAATTAAAAGCTGTATTAGACTATACATCCTGTGGATATCAAAGTCATCAACTCTTCTTTGGACAGAGCCAGTCATGACTGTCATCACAAGCTTTCTGCCTTGAGAAAGATAAGCAGAGACTTTGAGTTTCATCCGCAGAACAAACATGCATTGTTTTGTTGAACTTAACTGATTTCAGCTACTTTTGGGTGCTTCAAGCATATTAATATCTTTTTCTGTTCAATTGTTTGATGACTTGCGCTTCATGCACAACAGCTATGCTTTGATACTTAAAAAACAAACAAACAAACAAAAAAGGAAAGTAAAGGTGAAAGGACTTCGATGTCAGACTTGGGAAACGTGAGCTACGGGAATGACCTATGTTTACCAGATGTTTATTCAGCTTTGTAAGTCACTGGTTGCGACACAAGTCCAGTTGTATGGTGTACATGGATGCTAAGTGTGTAAGAAAGTTAAAAGTGTGAGTAGGCAATCAACATGGCAACAAGACCTCACCCCAACAAAAGGGCAGGTTGCATTAAGTGTAGGGGACGAGCCAAGGATAAGGTGTCAGATAAATGGTGCATTTTCAAACAACGTTAGACTTCAGGTGCTATAATTTCCAAACTCCTTTTGCTTTGTTTTTGTACAGAGACAACATTTAGAGCAAAACTATTCTAGATTAAACCGCTCCCCACCTGTCTTTGATACACTTGTTTTGCTTTCATTTACAAATAAAAAGAGAGGAAAAAATGTGACCATCTACTTTTCACATGACTGTCAGATTCAGTGTAGAGATGTTTTGTTTAGGGAGGTGGGGGTTCTGCTCATTTCTTTGTTCCCTTATAGTGTTATGGCTCTATATCAAAGGTCTCCTCCCAGACTGCTCCTCCTGGCCATATCCCTTAAAAATGAATATAAGAATATAAATGTATACTTTTGTGTAAATGTGTTTTTCCTCTTTTAGATTATCAAAACGGGGAACCTGTAGCATTGTAATTATTTTCAGAAGCCTTTTTCACTTTATGTTATTTGTGTTATTTTTCAAGAAAAAAATAAATAAAAGAATGATAAACAATGGCTGGGTTTCGTGATTTCTGTTGAGCTGAAAGTGGGGAAGATGCACTGCAATTACATCACTAGTATTTTCCTGTTTATACCATCTATCCACTCCTCGGTGGCTCCACCCAGCATCTCTCAATAACCTGGAAATAAAGCGACGCCTAGATAAATAAATAATAAAGAAAACTGCCGCTGCGGCTGTAAATACACAGGAATATTTGTACCGGATCGCAGCAGACTGACAGATGTAATCGCCTTTATTAGGCGTTTGCTTGGCAGGAAACGAGTGCCGTCCCGACATCAACTGTCACCAGCATCATCTCGGATGCCCCAACTCTAGGGACCTGGATGTGAAAGCGGAGTAAAGGCCGTGTCTTGTGTTATTTAGACAGCCCTGCGATAAGAAAGGGGGGAATGGTTGCAGTAGCAGCAGCGGGGGAGAAGCTAGCTAACTCCATCAGCCGGCAATTTCACCCGCTATTTTACTACTTTAAGGACACTGTGGAAAAAATGAGCGGACACTGAGGCGCATTTTAGGCTGTCTTCAGTTACGAATAATGGAACACAGGCGCCAAAACGAGAGGGAAATGATGTTATTAGCCAGTTAGCTAACGTTAGCCCAGCTAGCTGCTAGTTAACGTTAACTACAACAAATTAGTGGGCTGAGTTAGCCTAGCTAACTCAGCCCACTAATTTCCATAGGCAGGTACAGTAGTCGTTTAGTTGCTGACTAACGCTAGCAACTTTGGTATATTTAGTGAGTGGAAGGGTTTTTCCCCCTTGGTGACACACCTCTTGCATTCAGAGTTTACAATTCCCTGCTGTAAACGAGGCTAGCTAGCTAAGCAGCGGTGCCGATCAGCGCAGCACCCATCTGCTGTGGTGTCGCTGCAGAAGTCGTAGCTTTCCTGCTGATTAACTCTCAAACGGTCGTCAAACATGGCTCAAGAAGCGTTTCCTTTGCATTATCTGGTTTGGAACAATCAGTACCTGGAGCTGGATCGAGAGCTACAGAAGAAAGAGGTAAGACTTGATTTTGTTTTTTGGAGCTGGTGATTGATGATGGGGGTTGTTTTTTTTTTGGCATGTCGAACTGCATTGCGCTCATGCTGCTGCTGCTTGTGTGTTTGGTTTTGCAGCAGGATCTGGAGCGCTTGGATCCGAGAGGGCGCACCCCGCTGGAGCTTGCTGTGTGTCTGGGCCACCTGGAGTCAACCCGGGTGCTGCTCAGGCACTCTGCAGACCCTACACATTGCAACGCACAGGGCTGGACCAGTGAGTGCTCTGCTGCTTCTCTGTTTCCTACCCTCAGGCTACTGAGGGAAAGAGAAACACCCTCTGTAAATAAATGCATGTTTCAGTCTTGCAGGAGGCAGTGAGCACCGGGGACCCTGAGCTTGTACAGCTGGTGCTTCAGTACAGAGACTTCAAGCGTGCCACTGAGAGACTGGCGGGCATTCCCGAGCTGCTCAGCAAACTAAGACAGGTAGATCCATCTGGTTGCACAAATGTAATCTCTTGGGTTTTACACCTGACCCGTTGAACTGAGACAACCCTCATCAATTCCTTGGTGCCTGGTTGAAGGTTGATGGGGAAGAAATTAAGTCTGATGTGTCAGTGTATGTTTTTAGAAGCTCTTGAGCTGTATTGAATCTGAAGGCATAAACGGTAGACGACTTGAGAAGATCTAAGAGTGTCTTCGTGTCTTCCAGGCACGAGACTTTTATGTGGAGATGAAATGGGAGTTTACCAGTTGGGGTGAGTGTGGCTCATTAATGCATATCCACAGAGGTCAGTTTCAGCACCACAAGTAGCTGGACAGCTCCCACAACAGCAGCAAACAGATGTTGTTCAGCGGATTAAAATTAGAGTATCACTACCAACCAGATTATAGCATATATGATTCTCTCATTGATAGTTAATAAATTCAGACAAAAATTGTCAGCTTTATTGTCAGCCAGCTTTTTATTCATTAGGTATTCAAATTGTTTCTAGTGCTACTTCACTGTAACTGCATCTCATCTTCTTCAACTTCCATCTCAGTGCCCTTGGTGTCAAAAGTGTGCCCCAGTGATGTCTACCGGGTGTGGAAGAGTGGCTCTTGCCTCCGTGTGGACACCACACTCCTGGGTTTTGAACACATGACTTGGCTGAAAGGACGACGCAGCTATATCTTCAAGGGTGGAGGTATGCGCTTTTTGCACCTTAGGCCACAATAGCATGCAAGCCTTTTAACTTAGAAACTAACATAGATAGATTCTGAGCTGATGTAGGCCATCCCTGAAAGACTAAAAAGCAATTCTGTTCTTCTAGCTTTGTGATGGCTTTCATTCTGTCAGAATTATTGTCATTTTCCTCTTGCACCTGTATCTTGATTGAGTTTTGTATGCACCCTGATTACACAGCCTAGCTGTTTGTGCTATCTGTCCGTCTCTTCTCAGACGATGGGGCAGTGGTCATGGAGGTGGACCATGAGAAGCAGGTCGTGTACACAGAGCCGCTTGTGTTGTCCCCTCGTGATGCGCCTTCGCTCCTGGCAGCAATGCAGCCATCTCAAGAGAACACAGCCCAGAGACTCACATCGCCTATTGTCTCCACGCACCTCAACACTCGCAATATTGCATTTGAGCGGTAACATACTGTATACATATACGCAGAATTCTTAAATTATTTCTACACATCTCATTTTTCATGTTTCCGTGCATAAACTCTGAGTGCATCCTCACAGTTAGTCATGTAGAAATATATATTATATTAGCACAATGAGTACTTAATTTGTCATTGTGTGTTTAGGAACAAGTCTGGAATCTGGGGCTGGCGCTCTGAGAAGAGCGAGGTCGTCAGTGGGTATGAAGCTAAGGTAAGTGCGAGTGAGCCCATTTAGTTTTAGATGTATTTAATTATTTATTTCAAGCTGTGCTTTTGAATTTAGACAGGCAGACGCTCATACTCCTGACTGAAAGCAAACTAAAATGCTCACGGGTGCTTTTCCTTTGTGCGTTGTTGTGTATAGGTTTACAGCGCTACCAATGTGGAGCTGGTGACTCGTTCAAGGACAGAACATCTGTCAGACCAGGACAAGTCGAGAAGCAAAGGTAACAACGGATACACACAGATACACCTCATAACTGAGGTGTGTATCTTGAACAGATCGTGGACACTGAAAAATGTGATTTTTCACCAATTTATTGTAATAAAATGTTGATTGTATTAGAAAATTAGCTCTTCATGGATACTTTTCTTAAGTGGACTTATGCTTTTACTTGTTTCTGGTCATATATACACTGCTACAAGTGTGAATGTTCATGTTAAACGTGGTCAAGGTTTTAAATAATAAGTATGAGTAATCCCTCTGAGATTGAAACCGAAGCATCTAACTGCTCAGAATGCTCCATGTCAGATAGATCATCAGTCCATAGGCACAGTAAAAGATAAATAAGGACTATTTTGAACTATGGGTCTTGCAGAGCTGCTCTAATAAAGTGCTGGAATAAAAATATGGGGCTGGAAATTTACAGTCCACTTTAAACAGACCATACAGAGTAAATTTTAATGGATTTTTGTAGCACTTTTATAGTGATCTCTTTTTATTCCTTTTTGTCTTCCTACTCAGGCTCAAAGACTCCTCTGCAGTCTTTCCTGGGGATTGCTGAACAGCACACAGCTCACAATGGGGTAAGTCTCAGCAGCGCCCGTGCATTAACATCTACACACACACCACCTACACTGCTTTCAGCCTCTTTTAATGAACACTGTTACTTATTGCTCCCTTTCCATATTTCTCTTAGAGCAACGTGTCCCAGTGCGCCAGTCCTCACAACCCCACAGCCATCACAGCTGAGGAATAC